AGTCCAGACAATAGACTAATCTATAGTCCAGTCTATAGACTACACTATAGTCCAGTCTATAGACTACACTATAGTCCAGTCTATAGACTATACTATAGTCCAGACTATAGACTACACTATAGTCCAGACTATAGACCACACTATAGTCCAGACTATAAACTACACTATAGCCCAGACAATAGACTATATTATAGTCCAGTCTATAGACCATAATATAGTCCTGCCTATAGACTACACTGTAGTCTAGACTATAGACTACACAGTCCAGACTATAGACTACACTATAATCCAGACTATAGACTACACTACAGTCCAGACTATAAAGTACACTATAGTCCAGACAATAGACTAATCTATAGTCCAGTCTATAGACTACACTATAGTCCAGACAATAGACTAATCTGTAGTCCAGTCTATAGACTACACTATAGTCCAGTCTATAGACTACACTATAGCCCAGTCTATAGACTAATCTATAGTCCAGACTATAGACTAATCTATAGTCCAGACTATAGACTACACTATAGTCCAGACTATAGACTACACTATAGTCCAGACTATAGACTACACTATAGCCCAGACTATAGACTACACTATAGTCCAGACAATAGACTAATCTATAGTCCAGTCTATAGACTACACTATAGTCCAGTCTATAGACTACACTATAGACTATACTATAGTCCAGACTATAGACTACACTATAGTCCAGACTATAGACTACACTATAGTCCAGACTATAGACCACACTATAGTCCAGACTATAAACTACACTATAGCCCAGACAATATATAGTCAAGACTATGTACTACACTTGGCTATAGGCCAGCCTTCAGGCTCAAAATCAGACTATAGACCGAGCCCAATTTCGGTTAACTACCTATATTGTTGAGAAATAAGTTTAAGCCCAAAAATTTAAACAAGTAATAAATTAAAGATTTTTTAAGAATGTTATTTTTTACTTTTTATTAAATTGTTTTTTTTTTTGTTTTTTTATTATAATTATTTATTACTTTATAAATAAACTTAATCATTAATAAAAAAGTGTTGTTGTGTTTAAAGATGAATGTAAAGAATTCGTGTTTTTAAGGGGATTTTGTATTGCGCGTGGGTGTGTGGTGTAAAAGAATGACTGGAAAATTTAGAATGAAATCCTTGTTAATAGATTTTGTTTTTAAATTCAAATTTATTTGAAAAAATTAAAGCAAGCACACACACCTAAACGCAGCTACATTATTAAATGTATTCCAATTATTTTCTTGATTTTATTTTATAATTTTTATGTATATGATTGGTTGTTGCTGTTGGTTTTTGTTTTAGCTACTTTACTAATGAAATAAGCATATTTTTTATTAAACAATGTTTTAAATGAAAACTTTGTTTAGACAGTGTTGGTTTTGGTTGTTTCTAAATACGAATACAAACATTTTGAAATCATACTGTCATTATCATATGTTTTGTATTGTATTTGATAATTTGGAGTTTTTTTTCTTGATTTTTTCGTTTTTAAGTGGGACAGAGACAAATTGTAAATCGTTGATAAAAATGATTGGACAAAAAAAAAATAATAATTAAGTTTTGTTTTCGTGTTTTTCTTTTAGCGGGAATAAAAGTAAACTTAAATTCAGCAGGCGCAGCCTCCTTCAGGATCTTTTGTTTCTTTTTGTGTATCTAAGGTTATTTCTTGCATGTCCTCCGAAGGTTTATTCTCTGTCGTTGAATCCATACCGGGCAGTGCGGCTGCTACACGTCTAAACAATTGCTTAACATTATAACCAGCCTTGGCACTTGTTTCAATAAACATGACATTCAATTCTTTGGCCTTGCGTTCACCCTCTTCGGTGGACACTTGCCGTTTGTCGGAGAGATCAGTTTTGTTGCCAACTAACATGATAATGACATCACTGCCGCGTTCGGTACGTACGTCATCGATCCATTTGGAGGTCTGATGGAATGAATTTGTATTAGTGATGTCGTAGACGACCACAGCCACTGTGGAATCCCTAATGTAGGAAGGTATTAACGAACGGAAACGTTCTTGTCCAGCCGTATCCCACAATTGCAAACGTACCGTGCGATCTTCTAAGTACATGGTTTTCGATAGGAAATCAATGCCAATGGTGGCCTGATACGTATTATCGAAGCTGTCATACATGAAACGTGTAATCAGCGAAGTCTTGCCCACACTTTGTTCTCCCAAGAAGACCAATTTGAATTTACGCAAGGGATTGCCAAAATCTCCGGATGACATGTTTACAAAAATTTACGATTTACTAGTTGTATAAAAAAATAGTTATAAATGCTGCTTTGTTACTCCTGGCTGCCGACCCTCTTATCTTTGATTCCCTTTTCGGCCGATTCTTGCTTATTTTCTATTACCAATTAAGTTTTTCTACAATTTAATTATAATTTTCCAGTTGTAATTACATAGAAAAGTTTGCTGACCTCTTCTTTGGCAATTATTGTTGTTGTTGCTGTTGTATTTTTCTTGTCTCTGTGGAATTGTTACAAAAAATATAAGGTTTTACGTTGCTTGAAGTATTTTGTAGCAGAGCTGGGCTGGGCTATTTGCTTCTTTCAGTTCGTTCGATATTTTTTTTCGCCTGCGTATGCTTTTTGGTGTCTCACTGTGGATGTGTGTTTTTTTTTTTTTGTTCAACTTTATTTTTCTTGTAAAAAAATCTTGTTGTGGTTTGCTTTTTCCTAGTTTCTTTCACTATAAATTATTAATATTTATTTAATATAAATTGCACTTATTGTTTTTATGTGTAAATTCTTGTTTATTTCAGTTTGCTAATTAATTTTTTTTAATAAATTAATTCAGCTTTAAAATTGACAGGGCAAATTACAGATTCTCACAAATTTTTTTCACTTTTCTTTTGCACTGCTTTCTAACTGAGTCACCACCGCTGATGAAGTTTTGCAACCGATTTTTGTTAGTGTGCACGGCAATACCGTCATTGCATGCCATCTGCTACGTGTGATGTTGCCACTTGGTCGAAGGGTTACCGAATAATGCAAAATTTATTCGGTGGTATGAAATTTGTTCTATGGTAGCCATTGCTATGAAAATTGTATAGAAAAAGCGAAGGAAATTTTTAATTTCTATTGGAATAAAGAATATTTTTATAACATCTCTACACTATTTTAGGTTTAAATTGGGATACTGCTGATTAGTATTTATAAAATAAAATTAAAATTGAAAAATCAAAATTATTATTAAAATAAAAATCAATTGAAAATTACAAATCCAAATTAATTTGAGATATTGTGTCCTAAAAACTGAAAAATCCACGTTTTGGCTATATTTGAGTTGTCATAACAGCGCAAAGACATCTTTGTTAATAAAATCTGTTATCTCATCTGAAAGTCAAATCTGTCATTAACAAAATTGAGCTCTATTTCGCCCTTATTCTATGATAAACTTATAAGCCTTAATTGTTCAAAAAAAAATTGTTTCTCATAAAAATTCGTTTGAATTATTTAAAAATCTCTTGCACTTGCAAAGATATCGTCCGATGAAGTTTTTGCAGTAAAATAAAGGCAATATCAATTATTTTTGGGATTTACAGTTGTTTCACGCTTTAAGTTAAGATATCATGAAGAATGATGAAGATATTACAGATGCTAAACCTTTATTTTAAAGTCGACAGATTGGACTCTCAGACGATATAAGTCATATTATAAATGAAAGTGTCTTCCCACTTTTATAAAGTCTCAAATATGCCAAAAACGTTCAGTTCAGTTTTTAGGAGGCCTGATTCGGATTTAGCAAAGCTAAATCCTTCAGAAATGTATACTTTGGTCTTTGGGTTTCGACTTTTTTCACATTTTGTAGCTCCCATATAAGGTCCACATCCAAAAAACAATTAAACAAATATAATTCATTAAAATAACCAAATCCATATACACACATCATTCTGATTTTTTTCGAATCGGATGCTGTCGGGATTAAATTCTACACAAATATGATTTGTATATATACAAATCATTCTGCGATACATTTTCTGGATCGGTCCACAGTCCACAAGAAATTAAGGTAAACTTGTGGTCATATTATTTTAAACAATTATATACATGAGAGGTGTAGAAATAAAGGCCTCAGTTCCCTACCAGCGATTAAAAATCCTGACCTCAGAATAATTTTGAAAAATAAAATGTCTTCGATTTTTTCAAAATGTGTCTCAAAAATTCCGTAATTTTCTGCTGATTACGGGAAAAATAATCTTAAAATTTTTATAGAATATTATTGGTTCACAAAATGATTTTAGTGGGTTGGAGAGGCATATTATTTTCGTTTTTTTTTTTTATCGAAATAGGTGTCAAAATTGTTCTAATTTTTAGCTTATACAGAAAAATCTTTAAAAAACAGATTGGCATTTGGTATAGTCCATTTCAGAATTTTTTTATACAAATACAGTAAGAAAAATTTAATTTATTTTTCCCGCGATATGCTCAAAATTACGGAATTTTTGACACTCATTTCGAAAAGATTGCATACAATTATTTTTCAACATATTGTACTGAGATCAAGATTTTCAATCGCATGTAGGGAACTGAGGACCTTTTCAAAAAAATTGGTTTATATTTTTCTCGTATGTAGTACATTAAAACGCATCGTTTGAGAGATATTCATCCAAAAAAGTAGTCCACGGGACACCCTAATGTACATACATATTTATAAAAAAATTAATACAAATTCGCGATTTTTTCATAGAATTACGTAGAATTCGATATAATAATTTAATGATTATTAAATGCTAAAGAAAGAATTGTTATTATTAAAAGTTTTTTGTAAATTATTGTTAATTTACAAAACCTGAAGACATGTTGAAAATATACAAATATATCTCGACTATATCAGCGTAATATGGATTAACTTTGTTTTATTTCAATTATTTTGTTTAACATATTAGGATTTAATAAAAAAATAAACCAAAAAAAATGGAGAATAATATAATGAATATAAAAAGTAAACTTAATTTCCGAAAGAACAGCATGCTTTTATTATCCTTTATATTTTCTTCTTTATTCTCTTCTTGATGCACTAAAGAAATTGGAATATCATCAGAAAATGTTTGGTTTGCAGTTGCAGTCATCGGCAAATCGATTTCTGGCAGTGCTTACACGAATAAACAATTCCTTAATTTTTTTTTGCCATTTTTTGCACTTGTTTCGATGAACATGGCATTTAATTCTTCTGCTCTACGTGCTCCTTCTTCTGACGACACCTGTCGCTTGTCATGCAGATCACTTTTATCACCAACTAACATTATAATGATTTCATTACCACGTTCGGCGCGTACATCTTCGATCCATTTGGTTGTCAGATCGAATGATTTTGATTTGGCAACATCGTATACTATCACGGCCACTTTCGAATCCCTTATGTAGGAGGGTATTATGGAACGGAAACGTTCTTGTCCAGCCGTATCCCACAATTGCAGACGTATTTTACGATCTTCTAAGTACAGAAATTTTGATAAGTAATCAATGCCCACAGTGGCCTTGTACGCGGTATCGAAACTGTCATACATGTAACGTGTAATTATTGCTTTTTTACCCACACTACATTCTCCTAAAAAAATTACTTTCATACTTTCCCTAAGTTTTACACCGATTGACATTTTTAATTTTATTTTACACAAAATTGGTATAAAAATTATATTTCTTGCTTCTCCTAACGACTATTTACTTCAAATGATTTATGTTCTTTCCGTTCGATCAATATTTTTCCTTCTTTTGTTTATTTTTGCAGTATTATACATATTTATATTTCTTATTTATAAATTTATTAATAGCAATCTTGTCTTTATGTAGAATAATTATTGTTTATTACGAATCAAATGATTCAATAAAAATATCTGAAATACCCCAGGATTCCTACGACTTCAGATGCTACTACATCTCTGTAAACAATTAAATTTCGAAAAATTTCGGATAGACGGACATTGCACTATGGGCCAGAGGGCGTTGCAGTGATAAGTGATGTAAAAGAAATTATTTATGCATCTTTAGCTAATATTTGAAACAAAAATCGTAACATAATCTGCATCGGTGTTAAAAAGGTTAAGATTTGAAAAAATCAAAAAATCATTGCAAGGAACAAATAATGAACTATCTAGCTCGAAAACAAGTAATGATATGCAAAAATTCTCTTTATAACCAAAATGTAGGAAATTTAACTATGCATATTAAGTGATATACTTTTAAAAAACTGATTTTTGTGAACTTTGACCGACAATATCTCGCTTAGTGCTTATTTATGGTGACTTTTAATATCTTATTAATAATGGCAAGGAAAAGCTATGTTCCAATTTTAATTTAGCAATCTAATATTCATCAGCAAAATCCTTATTTTCCTGGGCTAATCGGGGTTACCAAATAAAGAATTTAATGAACTAAAAAAGAACCAGAACAGAACTAGAATAGAACTAGAACAGAACCAGAATAGAACTAGAATATAACAATAACAGATCGTTAAATCCGAATCTGACCTCTGAATTTCTTCATCAGGTTTTTGAGATATCGTGTCCTAAAAACTGAAAAATCCCGGCGAAGACATCTTTGTTGATAAAGTCTGTTATGTCATCTAAAGGTTAAATTAGTCGACTTAAAAATAAAGGTTTAATATCTCCACCATATTTGCATGATTCTTCGAAATATCTTAACCGAAATCTAGGAATAACTATAAAATTACAAAAATATATTTTTAGCACAATTTCGCCTTTATTCCATGACATTCATATATGCCTCAATTTGTTACAACTTTTCACATTATCTCAAACACCTGATGCAATGGATCACTTAATAATAATAAGTACATTGTTATTGGTTTATTAACTTATACTTATAAATACATAATACATGGCAACTTTTTGGAATTGAATTTTTATTTCGTTAATGGGGAAAAAAAAAGTACCAAAAGGGGAAAAACGGGAAATTTGATTTTATTCAAACACAGTGATATTTCTTGGTACCTTTTTATTCTCCAAATGGTATTTTTTGGGTTTTCTATGATATTGAAATCGAAACATGAAATTAATAATAAAGGGACTTTTCGGTACTTTTTCGTTCCCACTTTTTTAAGTTCTCTTTAAAATTAAACCTATAAATATGAAATTAATCATATACAGCCCGGATTAAGGAAAACATATAAAAGGGGACTTTTTGTTGTTTTTTCGTTTTTCAAGATACTTTTTGAATTTTTGTATAATATTGAACCTAGAAAGGTGAACTTAAGCATGTAGAGTCCGGATTAAGTGAGAACCTATAAAAGGGGACTTTTTGGTACTTTTTCGTTCGTTAAAAGGTACTTTTTGAATTTTTGTATAATATTGAACTTAGAAACGTGAAATTAAGCATAATGAACCCGGATTAAGTGAGAACCTCTCAAAGGGGACTTTTTGCTACTTTTTCGTTCTTCAAAAGGTACTTTTTGCATTTTCTATAATATTGAACCTAGAAACGTAGAGTCCGTAATAAGTGAGAACCTTTCAAAGGGGACTTTTTGGTACTTTTTCGTTCTTCAAAAGGTACCTTTTGCATTTTCTATAATATTAAACCTAGAGGCATGAAATTAAGCATGTAGAGCCCGGAGTAAATGAAAATCTATAAAAGGGGACTTTTTGGTACTTTTTCGTTATTCGACTAGTACTTTTTGAATTTTTCTTTAACTTGTATTTGTTGAATTTTCTATAATATTGAACTTAGGGACATGAATTTAAATAAAAGAGTTCTTTTGATACTTTTTCGTAATATTAAATATATAAAAATAAAATTAAACACAATTTTCTATAATATTGAACCTAAAAACATAAAATTGGACACGCAGCTTCCTGATTGTATAAAAATCTGTATGCGAGGAATTTCTGGTTGAAAATTAAGCATGCATCATCCTGATTTAATGAAAATCCATTTTCATTGTCTGTAATATTGAGACTAAATTCATAAAATCAAATTTATAGAGTTCTTTAAAAGGGGACTTTTTGATATTGCAGATATATATGTATATACATTTACAATACATAATACTATTTATTTTATCCCATTACGATGAGGGTAGCGAAGCACACTGGGTATAGCTAGTATCGGTATAAATTTATACAAACTATTCTGAGAAACTTTTTCCTGAATTTTTTCGGATAGGTCCATAACTGACCATCGCTCTAATAATAAAGCACTCTTGTGAAAATCCCTAAATCGTAAATAACTCATGAATTAATAATGATATTGGGTTAAAATCGGGATAAAGAATGGCACATTTTATTGACAAATTATACGTTTATTTGGATTTTTAATCTTTCTATATAAATTGAGTCGTTATAATATTCTTATATTAATAAAAGCCACTTGTGGTCATACTATTTTCATACAATGTGCATTTATATCTATATATATAAAATTCTAACGTTACTGACTGACTGACTGATTCATCATCGCACAGCCTAAACGGTTGAAGGTAAAGAGCTGAAATTTGGACAGGAGGTTGGTCTCCCGCCAAATAGATCCACTAAGACGGGATTTTTGGAAATTCGAATGTTTAGGGGGTAAAAAAAGGGTAAAAACGGGTAAATTCGGTAACCTTATATCTCCTAAACTAGAAAAGATACAAAAACAGTTTAAAGCTTATCGCCGTTCATTTAAAAAATAAACGGACAGGTGTCTGGTACTTTTTTAAAATTCGGCCCCTTTAGGGAATAAACGGGTAAAAACTGTATTTTGGTACTTTTTTCGCACCCCATGTATCTTTTAAACCAGTGCACATTCAAAAAATATTTTTGACTCCTTCATAACTTAACGAAAAAATAAAAATATGAATTTAGTACTTTTTGGATATTCGGACGTTTAAGGGGTTAAAATTGTACCTATTATTGGTACTTTTTTCATAAAACATTGTTTTTGGTTTATTAACTTATACATATGAATACATAATAACGGGCTCCCACTACGATGTTGCAACTTTTTGGAATAGAATTTTTATTTCGTTAATGGGGAGGAAAAAAGTACCAAAAGGGGTAAAAACGGGAAATTTGATTTTATTCAACCACAATGATCCAATTTAGATAAAATTTTTAAATTTAGAAACACTAAATATCCTAATGGGGTGTTATTTGGAACCCCGGTATCAAGTGATATTTTTTGGTACTTTTCATTCTCCAACTGGTCCTTTTTGAGTTTTCTATGACATTGAAATAGAAACATGAAATTAATAATAAAAGGACTTTTCGCTACTTTTTTGAGTTTTCTTTAAAATTAAACCTAGAAACATGAAATTAAGCATGTAGAGCTCGGAGTAAATGAGAATCTATAAAACGGGACTTTTTGGTACTTTTTCGTTCTTCAAAAGGTACTTTTTGAATTTTCTATAATATTGAACCTAGAAACATGAAATTAAACATGTAGAGACCGGAGTAAATGAGAATCTATAAAAGGGGACTTTTTGGTACTTTTTCGTCCTTCGACTGGTACTTTTTGAGTTTTCTATAAAATTTAACCTAGAAACATGAAATTAAGCATGTGGAGGCCTTAGTTAATGAGAATCTATAAAAGGGGACTTTTTGGTACTTTTTCGTCCTTCGACTGGTACTTTTTGAGTTTTCTATAAAATTTAACCTAGATACATAAAATTAAGCATGTAGAGCCCTTAGTAAATGAGAATCTATAAAAGGGGACTATTTGGTACTTTTTCGTCCTTCGACTGGTACTTTTTGAGTTTTCTATAAAATTTAACCTAGAAACATGAAATTAAGCATGTAGAGCCCTTAGTAAATGAGAATCTATAAAAGGGAACTTTTTGGTACTTTTTCGTCTTTCGAATGATACTTTTTGAGTTTTCTATAAAATTTAACCTAGAAACATGAAATTAAGCATGTAGAGCCCGGAGTAAATGAGAATCTATAAAAGGGGACTTTTTGGAACTTTTTCGTCTTTCGACTGGTACTTTTTGAGTTTTCTATAAAATTTAACCTAGAAACATGAATTTAAGCATGTAGAGCCCAGAGTAAATGAGAATCTATAATAGGGGACTTTTTGGTACTTTTTCGTCCTTCGACTGGTACTTTTTGAGTTTTCTATAAAATTTAACCTAGAAACATGAAATTAAGCATGTAGAGCCCAGAGTAAATGAGAATCTATAATAGGGGACTTTTTGGTACTTTTTCGTTCTTCGACTGGTACTTTTTGAGTTTTCTATAAAATTTAACCTAGAAACATGAAATTAAGCATGTAGAGCCCTTAGTAAATGAGAATCTATAAAAGGGGACTTTTTGGTACTTTTTCGTCCTTCGACTGGTACTTTTTGAGTTTTCTATAAAATTTAACCTAGAAACATGAAATTAAGCATGTAGAGCCCTTAGTAAATGAGAATCTATAAAAGGGGACTTTTTGGTACTTTTTCGTCTTTCGTCTGGTACTTTTTGAGTTTTCTATAAAATTTAACCTAGAAACATGAAATTAAGCATGTAGAGCCCGGAGTAAATGAGAATCTATAAAAGGGGACTTTTTGGTACTTTTTCGTCCTTCGACTGGTACTTTTTGAGTTTTCTATAAAATTTAACCTAGAAACATGAAATTAAGCATGTAGAGCCCGGAGTAAATGAGAATCTATAAAAGGGGACTTTTTGGTACTTTTTCGTCTTTCGACTGGTACTTTTTGAGTTTTCTATTAAATTGAACCTAGAAACATGAAAATAAGCATTTAGAGCCCGTAGTAAATGAGAATCTATAAAAGGGGACTTTTTGGTACTTTTTCGTTCTTCAAAAGGTACTTTATGAATTTTCTATAATATTGAAAATAGAAACATGAAAGTATGCATGTAGAGCCTGGATTAAGTGAGAAACTATAAAAGGGGACTTTTTGGTACTTTTTTGTTCTTCAAAAGGTACTTTTTGAATTTTCTATAATATTGAACCTAGAAACATGAAATTAAACATGTAGAGCCCGAATTAAGTGAGGACCTATAAAAGGGGACTTTTTGGTACTTTTTCGTCCTTCGAATGGTACTTTTTGAGTTTTCTATAAAATTTAACCTAGAAAGATGAAATTAAGCATGTAGAGCCTGGAGTAAATGAGAATCTATAAAAGGGGACTTTTTGGTACTTTTTCGTTCTTCAAAAGGTACTTTTTGAATTTTCTATAATATTGATCCTAGAAGCATGAAATTAAGCATATAGAGCTTGGAGTAAATGAGAATCTATAAGAGGGGACTTTTTGGTACTTTTTCGTTCTTCAAAAGGTACTTTTTGAATTTCTATAATATTGAACCTAGAAACATGAAATTAAGCAAGTACAGCCAAGATTAAGTGATAACCTATAAAAGGGGACTTTTCGGCACTTTTTCGTTCTTCAAAAGGTACTTTTTGAATTTTCTATTATATTGAACCTAGAAACATGAAATTAAGTACGTAGAGCCCGGAGTAAGTGAGAACATATAAAAGAGGACTTTTTGGTAATTTTTCGTTCTTCAAAAGGTACTTTTTGTGTTTTTTATAACATGAAATTAACCATGTGGAGCCCGGAGTTAATGAGAATCTATAAAAGGGGACCCTTTGGTAATTTTTCGTTCTTCAACTGGTACTTTTTGAGTTTTCTAAAATATTGAATATATAAACATAAATTTAAATAGGGGACTTTTTGATATTGCAGATATATATACATTTACAATAATATTTATTTTATTCCATTACGATGAGGGTAGCGAAGCACACTGGGTATAGCTAGTATATTTATAAAAAATTAATGCAGAATCTCGGTTTTTTATAGAATTACGTAGAACTCGATATAATAATGTAATGATTAATTAAATACTGCAAAAAAGTTAAAGAAAGAATTGTTATTATTTTTTTAACAAAGCATTTGTAAATTATTGTTAAATTACAAAATCTGAAGATATATATGTTGAACATATACAAGTACACCTCAACTATATTAGCGTTTTGAACTATTTCCGGAATGTCAAATAATAAAAAAGTAATACCAATTAAATTTTTTTAATTTAAACAAAATAAAAATTTTATAAAAAAATTAAACAAAAATGGAGAATATAATAATAAATAATAAAGTAAACTTAATTTCCGCATGAACAGCATGCTTTATTATCCTTTTTGTTATTTTCTTCTTTACTCTGTACTTGATGCACTAAAGAAATCGGAATATCTTCGGAAAATTTGCGGTTTGCAGTTGGAGTCGTCGGTGAATCGATTTCTGGCAGTGCTTGGCCTACGCGTATAAACAATTCCTTAACATTATTGCCATTTTTTGCACTTGTTTCGATGAACATGGCATTTAATTCTTCTGCTCTACGTGCTCCCTCTTCTGACGACACCTGCCGCTTGTCATGCAGATCACTTTTATTACCAACTAACATGATAATGATTTCATTACCACGTTCGACACGTACATCTTCGATCCATTTGGTTGTCAGATCGAAAGATTTTATATTTGTAACATCGTATACTATCACGGCCACTTTCGAATCCCTTATGTAGGAGGGTATTATGGAACGGAAACGTTCCTGTCCAGCCGTATCCCACAATTGCAGACGTAGTGTACGATCTTCTAAGTAGAGGATTTTTGATAAATAATCAATGCCCACGGTGGCCTTGTAAGTGGTGTCGAAACTATCGTACATGAAACGTGTAATTAAAGATGTTTTACCCACACTATGTTCTCCTACGAAAATCACTTTAATCCTACGCATAAGTTTTACACCGATGTACATTTTTAATTTTATTTTACACAAAATTTAAATATTAAAATAACGACTTAGAGAATATAAAAAGTTTCTTTCTTGCTTCTGTCTAATAACAATTTACTTTAAAAGTTTTATGTTCTTTCCGTTCGATCATTACTTTTCATTGCGTTCGAGTTTTTTAAAATTAATTTTTGCTGTATAGTATAATTGTTGCGGTTTTCGTTTTCTATGTTTTTTATTAAGTAAATTTATTTATAGTAATCGTGTCACATGTTGAATTAAATTATTCATTACGAATCAAACGATTCAATAAAAATATGTGATCGGGCTTAATACACAATTCAGTTTGAAAACAATACTTTTGAAATACAATTTATTAGAAAAATACGCTTAATTATTTATAATTAAAAAAAAAAACAATGGAGAGCAAGAATAAAATCAAACTTAATTTCCACAAGAACAACTTTATTTATTATCATTTTTACTTTGTTCTCTATTTGCAATTGGAATATCTTCGCAAAGTTTTCGGTTACCTGTTCAAATCGTCGGTGAATCGATATCTGGCAGTGCTGAGCCTACTCGAATAAACAATACCTTAGTATTATTGCCATATTTTGCACTTGATTAGATGAACATTTAATTTTTCTGCTCTACATGCTCCCTCTTCTGAGGACACTTGCAGTCTGTATTATAGATCACTTTTATTGCCAACTAACAGGATAATGATTTCATTACCACGTTAGGAGCGTACATCTTCGACCCATTTGGTTGTCAAATAGAATGATCTTGTATTGGTAACATCGTATACTATCACTGCCACTTTCTAATCCCTAATATAATATAGTATTATGGGACGTAAACGTTCTTGTCCAGCCTTATCTTGTCCAGATGTATTGTACGATCTTCTAAGTACAGGACTGATAAGTGATAAGTGACCTTGCACTTTGTATCGAAACTGTCATACATGAACTGAACTAGAACTAAACTAGAACTGAATTCTTGATAAGAAATAACAGAAATACATTTTGCTGGTGTACTCTATTATTGTGAACGTAGCTTTACTCATTATTAAATAGAAATTCTTCTTCTAAATTTACTTTGCATTTCTTATTTTCTATTTTAACCATAAATGGTGTAGAACTAAAATAAAAACCCTACAAAATATAAACAAAGCACTGCATTACCGACACTTCATTAACTGGGCGTAAAGTGGCAACATATTATAGTACAAATAACGATCTGGCAAGACTCTTAACTCTAATCATGTGTTGTAACCAAACAAAACAAATAAATATTGTGGGTTTAAACGAAGATTAATCTCATTTTCCTAATTTTTCATTATTTTATTAAAAGTTTAAAAAAAAACTTAACCTTTCGGTTATTTTATAAAAATTTGAAATTTACGCGCTCAATATGATGTCGCAGAATACAAATTTGTTTGCTAATGTTAATGCAGAAAGAACAAAACGTAGCAGTAATTTTTCCACCAAAGAAGTCAAGTATCTAATACAACTAGTGGACAATAAAAAAGAAGTCATTGAATCAAAGAAAACTGACCGTACAACGTCGGAGGAAAAGGTTAAAGCATGGTTGGAAATTGAGGAAGAATTTAATGCAGTTTTTGAAGACTATAGATCGTTTAAGGTGTTAAAAACAAAATATGAAAATCTTAAGAAAAACGTCAAACGTAAATTGCCAACAAATGTATCGAATTTGAGCGTATTGAAAATAATACAATCCGGTGAGCATGCAGTAACAAATGAGCCATTATCGGATTTTGAGTATGGTAAGTGTTATATGATTGTACATAAATCAGTGCAGGTTTTTAAATTTGTTTTTATTTCTTAGATTTATCAGAAGATGACAACACTTTACACACTAGTAATGCATCCGATGTTGATATGAAACCCCAACCGCCGCTTAATGAACAAGAATTAGATGCAGCTGGTAGGTTTAAATAGCCACAAGGAACTCTGAAAGATTTCAATTAATTTTATTTCTTTTTACTTTAAGCTGAAGAGTATGTATTTGAAACACTGCTTTTTGGTGAAGCTCAAACTTCTACTTCTTCACCGTTGGCACAAAAACCTGTACCGAAGCCACCGTCACTTTCAGAACAACCAAAATCTCAATCGCTAACAAAAGTTGAAAAGAAAAAACCTGCCATTGATGTCTGGGAACAGGTTGCTCATAAAAAATTGAAAAAACTTGACTTAGAGATGCATGTTATCGAAGAGGAATGGAAATTAAGAAAAAGAAAATTAGAATTAGAAGTTGAAAACGCACGAATAGAAAATCAATTTAAAGAGGAAAAACTTAAACTAGAATTGGAATTACTTAAGCAAAAATTGCAAAATAATAATAATAATAGCTCTTAGGTATAGCAGATGTGAACGCTATATGTTAGCGTTAATTAAAAAAGGTAAAATTAAATTTAAATGCAATTTATGAACTCATCACAGCGAGAAGCTATAAAAACTAGAAAAAATAAATGTTCTCCATAAATAATTATTAAAGATGATTTGACAATTCATTATTAATTGTACAACTAGTGCAGAAAGAACTGAAGTAGAACTAAACTAAAACTGAATTAGAACTGAAGTAAAACTGAACTAGAACTTAACTACATAGTACTTAACTAGAACTGAATTAAAACAGAAATAGAACTGAACTAGAACTGAACTAGAACTGAAATAGAACTAAACTAGAACTGAACTATAACTGAAGAAAAACTGAACTAGAAATGGGCTAAAACTGAACTAGAATTAAACTTGAACTGAACCAGAACTGAACTAAACCTGATCTTGAACAGAATTAGAACTGAACTATATAGAACTGAAGTAGAATTGAACTGGAAGTTAACTACATAGAACTTAACTAGAACTGAATTAAAACTGAAATAGAACTGAACTTGAACCGAATTAGAACTGAACTAGAACTGAACTAGAACTGAACTAGAACTGAAGAAAAACTGAACTAGAACTGGGCTAAAACTGAACTAAACTTGAACTGAACCAGAACTGAACTAAACCTGATCTTGAGCAGAATTAGAACTGAAATACATATACAGAAGTAGAATTGAACTGGAACTGAATAAGAACTGAAGTAGAACTGAACTAGAACTGAATTAGAACTGAACTAGGACTGAACTAGAACTGAACTCGAACTGAACTAGAACTGAATTAGAACTGAACTAAGCCTGATCTTGAACAGAATTAGAACTGAACTATACAGAACTGAAGTAGAATTGAACTGGAACTAAATTAGAACTGAGATAGAACTGAACTAGAGCAGAACTAGAACTGAATTATAACTGAACCAAAACTGAAATAAAGCTGACAAAAAACTTATAGAAAATAAATGAAAAATAATTTAAATTGTAAGAAATTTTCCGGCTGTGGTTTATTATTTAATTGCAAATAGCCCTTCAAATAAAAAACCTATTTAATCTATAATTAACCACAGTACAGGGAAGTGATAATAGAAAACTTGAATGACAGTTTCTTAAAATCTTTAGATAAACCCAAAGTATTTACAATTACTAAGTATGTTGTTGGTATTAAAATAATTTATAATTTTCCTAAGAAATCAATAATTTTGGACAAGTTATTTAATTAAAAAAATCTTGTTAAATAGTTATTAAAACAGAAGACATTATTTAATAAATACAATTAAACAAACATACATATTCCTAGTATTTCGCTATCTGTATGTAGTAGGGTGATCGAGTATTCGACATTTTCCAAAAACCGGTTTTCGAATAGACTAGAATATTTTTAAAATTTAGGCAGGCTGTATTATTATTTACTTCAAAATTTAATTTATGTAATCTTTGAATACAAAGCAAATAAAAGTATTCGAAACCGATTTCTAAAAAGTGAAAAAACCGGGTTATTCGATATTCGATAAATCAACATTTAGAAAAAACCGGTTGAAAACCCGAATCGATCACCCTAGTATGTAGATCCATTGCTTCGGAACAATGTTTATATATAGAAACATTTCTTATCAATTGTTAATACTTGATATTTGTATTCTTGTTTATTTTTTCTTAATAAATACTACTGTTGGTCTGAGAATAAAAATGATAAAATTACAATCAAATTCAGTTGAGAAACTATCGCAATGGCTAACGTACCACCAATGCTTTGGCTGTTAATTTTCGCACTAGCCAAATTGGCAAGTGGTCTAACTACTACATTGGAGCCATCTATGAAGATGGGTCGAGTTGTGGGCGGTACCAGTGCTGCTGTTAATAGTGCACCATTTATAGTGTCATTCCAACAGAGCGGTATACACTATTGTGCTGGAAGTATATTGAATAACAATTGGGTACTTACTGCTGCTCATTGTTTGGGATCGAAAACACAAGTGAAAAGTACCACCATGGTGGCGGGCAGTATTTATGTTGCTGGTACTGCGGCTACCACACAGAAACGTTCCATAGATCATTATGTGGTTAACGATTTATATTTGGGCGGTACTTCACCCTACGATATTGGTTTGGTTTATACTAAGACACCTTTTACCTGGTCAAATGCGGTAAGTGCCGTTACACTACCGGTTAGTGGTAGTGCACCCTCTGGCAATGCTGTTCTTTATGGCTGGGGTAGTACTTCCAAAAATAACAATGCTGTATATCCCAACACTCTGCAAGTGGCCACAGTTCCCATTATACCCTTAAATACCTGCGAGTCTGCTTTGGGGCCTAAAGGCAATGATGTACATAATACGAATGTCTGTACTGGACCTCTAACTGGTGGCGTTGGTATTTGCACTTCGGATTCAGGTGGTCCATTGGTGCAAAATAATAAAGGAAAACATGTTCTAGTTGGTATAGTCTCTTGGGGCAAATTACCTTGTGGTCAAGCCAATTCACCTTCGGTATTTGTAAAGGTTTCATCATTTATTTCATGGATTGCAGCTAATCAAGTGATTCCAAAATAAAACGTAAATCATCAAGAAATTTGCAGAAATATGTATACAATTGAAGTAATCTTTTTTGAAAAGTTTAAATTTCATTTTATTTTTAAATAAACTAACGTTATCACAAATTTCGGTTTTGGTACAGTGATGTACAGTAGAAATGGTACAATTATTCTTTTTTCTTTTTAAATGTAAACTATAATGTACAACAACAGAGCTAAGAAATAATGAATAATCTATTTTCTAGTTTATAGACCAGTCTATAGCCTAGTCTAGTTTATAGTCTAGCCTATAGTGTAGTCTATAGTCCAGGCTATAGTATAGTTTAGAATCTAATCTATAGTCCAATCCATAATGTAGTGTAGAGTGTAAACTGTAGTCCAGTCCATAATGTAGTCTATAGTGTAATCTATAGCCTTATATATACTCTTGTCTGTAGTCCAATCTATAATGTAGTCCATAGTCTATAATGCAGTCTGTAGTGTAGTCTATATTCTAGTCTATATGTAGTCCATAGTCTAGTCTATAGTATAGTCAATAGTCTAGTCTATAGTCTAGTCTATAGTCTAGTCTATAGTCTAGTCTATAGTCTAGTCTATAGTCTAGTCTATAGTCTAGTCTATAGTCTAGTCTATAGTCTAGTCTATAGTCTAGTCTATAGTCTGGTCTATAGTATAGTCAATAGTCTAGTCTATAGTCTAGTCTTTAGTATAGCCTATAGTCTAGTCTATAGTGTAATCTGTAGTCTAGTCTATACTATAGTCTAGTCTATAGTATAAGCTATAGTCTAGTCTGTAGTCTAATCTATAGTCTAGTGTATATTCAAGTCTATAGTCTAGTTTATAATCTAATCTATATTCAAGTCTATAGTCTAGTCCATAGTATATTCTATAGTCTAGTCCATATTATAATCTATAGTCTAGTCTATTATCCCTTTTATAGTTTAGTCTATAGTCTACACTATAGACTATAGATTAGACTATAGACTATTCAATATTGTAGTCTATAAAGTAGTCTATAGAGTAGTCTAAAGTGTAGTCTATAGTCTAGACTATAGAATATAATTTTGCATGATTTAATTTGAAAAAGCATATTTGGTACATATTTTGAAATTTTATGCTTTATTATTTTTATTATCGTATATTTAAATGTCGTTCCGACTGCACTGGTTCTAGAACTAGTTACTTTTAAACAAATTTAAAAAAAAATCACAACTAAATCATTTATATTTTTTATTAATTAAATCACATTAATAGCGAAATATGCATTTATTTCCTTAAACACTATTACATTAGGATGTTACCACCTGATTGGCAGAAATCCACGAAATAAACGATGAAACCTGAACATATACCGATGGAGAATTAGCCTGGCCGCAAGGTAATTTTCCCCAGGAAACAATACCAATCAAAACATTCTCACCATTAACACTCTGCACTAAAGGACCACCAGAATCTGAAGTACAAATGCCAACACCACCGGTAAGTGGTCCTGTACATAGATTTGTATCGTGAACATTTGCTCCCTGACTGCCCAAAGCAGACTCACATGTGCTTTGTGAAATAATCGGAACCGTTGCTACTTGTAGGGTTGTGGGATAATCGGCGGTATTAGTTGTGGAAATACTACCCCAACCATAGAGTAAAGCATCACCTGTTGGTGTGCTGCCACTAGCTGGTAGACTAATTGGGGCAACAGCATTTGACCAGCTAAAGGCATTGGATGTATAGACCAAACCTATATCATAGGGGGAGGTGCCACCCAAATATAAATCATTTACCACATAGCTATCAATGGAACGTGTTTGTGTTGTAGCTGCCGTACCAGCCACATCAATACTTCCCGCTACTAGAGTAGTGCTCAAGACTAGAGCTTTCGGACTTAGACAGTGGGCAGCTGTAACTATCCAATTTGCATTGAGAATACTGCCCGCACAATAGTGTACACCATCCTGTTGGAAGGACACTATAAATGGTGCACTATTTACAGCAGCATTAGTACCTCCTACCACCCGTAATTCCTTTGTTGAGCAATACGTAATATGCGGTAATATTGAAATAATCAAAGCTAAAGATATTAAAATCAATCCGCCTGACATGATGAACACTATAAAACTGTTTTTATTTAAAATTTATCGTAAATACTTGTATTAGTTTAAATTTAAATGAGACACAAAATAAATTAATTGAATTAAATTAATTGATAAGACTGACTATATCTATAAAGAAGAAAGTAATAAATACGTATGATTTAATTTATCTGAAAAAATAATAATAATAACATACTATATATTATATTATTTATTATTTAAATTTAATTTAACAACTTACATTTTTAATACCCTCTTCTAAATTTCTGATAAGATTGTCCTCCACTAATGACGAATTAAAAAAAGTACATAAATCTGAAAAAGCTTTTAAAGCTCACTCACACCGGGTATTCACTATGAGCTACTTTCCAATTTGTCTTGTGGTATAATCATCTTATAATTTAATGGATCCGTTAATAGTTGGATTCACAAATCTTTTCTTTAGTCCAGGGATTAACATGATTGAAAGTATTAGAATCGGTGCAAAATTTCATACAGCTCCCGAACAAATTTACATACTCCCTCAAAATGGATTTATTGCTAATATTTCCCTTTAGCTGTCATATAAGGTCCACTTCCGAGAATCAATTAACGAACATAATTCATCAACAAATAAGCATATCGGGATAAAATTCTACACGAAATCTATCGCGTCGTGAATTAATAATGCTATCTCGTCCTGCTCTCGTTTGGATCACCCCATTGGATCTTTGTCGTTCTACCCAATGTTTCATTATTCCAAGAGTCCTTATGGAATTCTCTCGCCCATATTGTTAATTTTGACCTCGTTCTCTCGAATGGTTTTGCGTTCGTCAAGTTAACTATCCAGAGCTTCTTTCCCTTTGAAGCAAGTACATTTTCTCGTTCGTATGGTCTTAGATTTAACCTTATCACATGATATCGCCTTAATTGCCTTTTGGCTATCAGTAAATATGTTAACCCTTGTTGGCGTTATATTTATTCTAATCCAATTTACTCATTCCGTTATAGCATGGCCTTCTGTTTAGAGCTGATGTTGTGATTAGGTAGACCGTAGTACATTTCTGTTTTTGGGTCTTCTATATAGGACCCCAGGCCCGTTTTGTTCTTCAGTTTAAAGCCAACCGTATAGCAGCGAATTCTAATGTTCCGCTTGACTATGACATTCTTTCTGGGATCAATGTTTCCGACAGAAAACATATTCAGTATCTGGTATGCCAATGCGTCTCTTATACATTGATGACGTGTCCTATAATCGCTTTTGGTCAGTTTACCTAAAGTTAAGAGCGGTTTGGCTAGAAGTACCGTCCATATCTTATATACATATATTTCAATAATAGCAACGTTTCCATAGTCTTGATTGACGGAACCATTAGTTTATTGAATCATATGTTAACCACGATTGTTTAAAGCAAATGTGTTATAGTAGAACTAAGGGGTCCTTAGTTCTACTATAACATGTGTCTATAGTTCTCCTACATAGCGCCCAGAACGAATGTGTTAATTCGATCATCTATTTGGTATCTCCATTTTAGTTTCAGGTGAAAGACTTAACTTTGTCCGTCACCGGTATCTTCTTGGTCAGAAAACAGCAATTTTTGTCTTTCTTAGAAACAAATTCCAGTGTTCGAAGGATTAACATTCAGGCCTCTTGGTAGCCTATTCAGCCCTTCTACACAAGTAATTTGGATCCTTCCCCTTAGAACTATTATGTAAGTAGCTTCTCGGTTAGGAGGATATTAATCGTGGTTACCCAGAGTAAAGGAGACAACATGGAAAATGTATTTCCTCGCTGATTGTATCTTAAAGTCTACAGTGAACTATATAAACATCGTAACTATATACTTGCCTCTTGATATTGATTTATATACCTTTAAAGACAACAGGAATTTGTTTTTCGAAAACTTAAAGTATGGAGAGTAATCACAAGCAGACAATCATTGAATGTAGCTGGGACAACGAGGTGGCCGAGGTTTGGAATTGATTCCAGAAGGCTTTTGTACGATTTAAATACGCTGCTTCACACTTTGTGAACATAACCGAAAAGGTCTCGGTCAAACCATAGGTCCCATAATATCAACATCCATTTACATATACAATCTGGTCGGTGAATTGTCCACCAAATATAGACTGCAACTACCAACAGCAAGAAAATTTTTGAAAGTTCTCCAATTGGAACTTGTAATGGCGGAACTACTCCTCCTAAAACGACATTTCACGCTAGTTTTCATAGAGTCTATCTTAAATACAATTGACACCCCTACAGGACTACCAAATGGGTGGAGGATTATACAATTTGAAGAATAAGGAAGTTGATATGAATTTCTTACGTATAGGAAAACCATTTTGATCGAACGATTGTGGAATCTGTAAGTGCTGCATATAAATTTTCATACATCGGTTCATAATTGACAATATCTTCTATATAAAACCGAATTCCTTATGAACTAATACTGAAATAGGCATAAAATTTTACTCAAATTTTTACAAATGTTCATATTCCCGGAAATATAGGGGTATAACATATCTAAACCTTGGATCGGTTCATAATTGACAATAGCTGCCATATAAAAACGAATTCCTTATGAACTAATACTGAAATTGGGATAAAATTTTAGGAACAAGTCGGTTTTAGTGACATTTCTCAAAAAAAAAAAAAAAAAACCAATATAGAGCGTTTTGAGACGATAAAAGATATACATTTTTTTGTCGGCCACGCCTACTTTCGAGTGGGCGGGGCTCCAAAGTTTAATACATTTTTGTGTATATCTCGAAAACTGTTTTGTTTACAATAAAAATGAAAATACCTTTCCAATTATATATAACATGATACTAAAATATGGACCGACTATGGGTATTTCCCGGAAAATATATATTTTGACCCGACTTTTTTTTCATCTAAAAGAAATCGGAAAAAATGTCTATATAATTCTGTTATAAATTTCTATATATTAATAGCCAATGAATTAAGCTTTTATTTAAGGTATAAACCATTTCTGTATCTAGATATAGCCCTAAATATTTTGAACTTTAGAGGCCCGCCCACCCTAAAGTAGGCGTCAGCGACAAAAATGTTTACGTCATTTCACTCACAAACGAACTCTCTATTAGTGGTGAAATTTTCGACGTGATTTGAAAAATGTCACTAAAACCGACTTAAGCCAAAGCCACCTTCTGAAAATCATTTAATCGTAAATAAATAAATATATTTTGTACATCTATATACAAATCATTCTGCGAAACTTTTTCCAGACCGGTAAATTACTTATTATTTAAATTAAAAGAATTTAAATTCGTAACTATAAATATAAAAAAACTTGCTTATAGGTGAAGGGTTTTTAAGATTCGGCATAATCGTATATAGAACTCTTAATTTTTATTATATTAAATTGTATTAAATCTATTATTATTAAATATTATTTTGGCCAAATTGGCTTTTTTATTACTGAATAAATAAATAAATAAATCTCGATTTTATATTTGAAATATTTCAAATCCGTATTCTACAAAATATTTTCCAAAATATCGCTTTTTGATCACTGGGATGAGCCGGCTATTTAAATTAAACATAGACGGCTGGCTGATAGACGATTTTAAGTCGCTGCAAAATATTAAATGTAAGCCGCTGCCGCCGTCACTATTATTGTTTGTCGGCGAAGGTCTCTGATGTGAATTGGAAAAAA